TTTGATTCTGGGACGCACTCTTGAAAGTTGCATTCTGCCAGATCAACGCAGTTTTGAGGTCTGCGTTCTGATGTTAGAACACGCCTCTGAAAGCTGTGTTCTATCTGGGAAACGCACACCTGAGGGTTGCGTTTAGCTTGGCTTATGCAGAGCTCATGTTGAGGCTCCCCTTTGGAGTCGTGCCGAAGTCGAGTCTTCTCCTTTAGGGAGGGGACTGTATGAACAGTGCAACCCCCATGGGAGATAGTCTTTAGATGAGTTGGCCACAATTGGAGCTTTAGTCTCCTCGGAAACTTTGTGGATCTTGCGCATAGCCTTGGGGCTAAAGGATCCGGAGGAGAGGGCCTTCTCAAACTTGGCTTGATCGAACTCAATGATCAGAGTTTCAACGGTCGTTCCAATGAGATGAACGTCGGATTGTGCCACCACTTCTTTGTCAGAGAAGCTCATCCCCAGCGGAGTCGCCATCTCTTGTTTGTTGGAAATTTGCAGTAAAAAGACAATGAAAGAAAATTTGACTTGTATTCTCTCAAAATCAATTACAATTTGGATTCCGATTACAAAAGAGAGGAGAATGAATTTGATTCTCCCCTTTGTTTAATTCTGGGTTCTTCACGGTGGCGATGAGATGCCTCCCTCGAATGCTCGCGTCGAGTTTGCTTCTCGTTGACGATCCGAACGTCTTGATTCACTGGAACGATGTCTTCTCCTCACGATTTGACGCTGTGGAGAACTTGCGTGGCAAGTTTTGAAATAACTCTTGACGAGTTGATAACTCTGAACGAGTTTTAGAAGAACTTGCAGAGCAAGTTTTGAACTCTGATTGAGTTGATAACTCTGAACGAGTTTTAGAAGAACTTGCAGAGCAAGTTTTGAACTCTGATTGAGTTGATAACTCTGAACGAGTTTTAGAAGAACTTGCAGAGCAAGTTTTGAACTCTGATCGAGTTGATAACTCTGAACGAGTTTGAACTCTTAGAAAAAGAGTTGATTTGAACCGAAAGTCGGTTATAAGCCAAGAGATTGCTCCTGTTGCCGAACTTGAAGATGATCTCTGTTGGAGAATGATCCGATCTCCAAGAAATTCCCCCTTTGCTGCCAAGTCTCAGCCAAGAAATTCCCCCTTTGCTGCCAAGTCTCAGATCCCAAAAAGCCCTTGACCGAATCTCCCTCTGTTGGTGAGAAAAAATCCGATCCCCAAGCTAGCCGCAGATCGCTTCTTTGCTGCCCCCCAAAAAGAAGGCCCCGAACTCAGTTGAGTTTCCCACTATTTATAGGGGATTTAGGGTGGTAACTACCCCCTTAATCCGCTCTTAAGTGGGGGCGAAAATCCCTCAAATCGTGGGGAAAACAGTTCCTGAAACTGTTCATTGTGTGCTTTGAACGAGTCAAACGCTGAAAAATAGCGTTCAGGGCCCGAACTCTGCGTTTTTAGACTAAAAACGCAGAGTTGGGCCTATTTTAGTATCTGAACGCACAGGCCGCTCAGCGTAATGAACTCTGAGACGCAGAGTTAGGGTGTTTTAGGCTGAACGCACAGGCCGCTCAGCATGATGAACTCCGAGACGCAGAGTTAATGGCTGAACGCACAGGCCGCTCAGCATGATGAACTCCGAGACGCAGAGTTAGTGGCTGAACGCACAGGCCGCTTGTGCGTTGGAATTCAACTCTGCGTCAAGAGTTTGGGACGCATGGATGAGTCTGTTGAAGAACGCACGTTAAGGCTGAAAACGCACAGTTCGTGCTATTTTAGAGATTAACTCTGCGTTTTGGGTTGAAAACGCAGAGTTTGGCCTGTGCATTTTGGCTCTGTGATGCAGAGGCGAACCTTAGGCGGGCTTGGCGGGCTTCAGGCTAAGTCCAATGTTCTGACGAAGTCCAGTCTTGCAGACGGACTTCAGAACATTACTTGCTACGAAGAACAAGTCATAACTTTCAAACCGTACGTCGGAATTGGACGAATTATATATGAAAATCGGCTATCTCGACGAGACGGATCCATCCGAACCAAGCCGAATGCTTTGGTTCGCTTCCTCCGTTTTACCAAATTCCTTACGGTTTAAGAGATATATGCGTTTTAATATGAAGAGACCGTCAATTTGTAGTCTCTTTTTGCTAGAGCTTTGCACAGATCGTCCTCTTGTAATCTTCGTCTTGGCTTCTTGAAAATATGAGAGTCGTCAGATTGTACCTCCCGATGTTGATTGTGTTGAATTGGGACTTTCATCAGTTGTCGTGAAGGTCGTCAGATTGTAGCCTTCTACGTGAAAGTCCTCAAATTGTAGCCTTCTGGAAGTCGTCAAGTTGTAACTTCCATCATCGGTGTTTGATGGGGGATCAACTATCTATTGTGATTTTTAGACAGCCTACATGGTGTCGGCTCAGTGTTGAGAACACTTCGTCGAGGTGGAGAATTGTGAAAACGGCGAAGGAATTGAGAAAAACGTGAAGAATAAGCAAAACAGACTCCACCACACCCTGGTGTGGTGTTTGCCATGAGTATGGCAGAATCTACTCTGTCTGCCATGGGTGTGGTGTCTGTCACACCCTGGTGTGGCAGAATCTACCGTGTTTGCCATGGGTGTGGTGTGTGCCACACCAGGGTGTGGCAGACTCGTTTTTAGAATCCTAATCTATTTGGGATTGTGTTTTGTTATAAATAGAACCATGTTTTTTAGGGTTTCTTAATGTGAGAATTAACATTGTTTTGCGCACTTTGAGATGGAGATATTGTGAGGGAGTTGAGAGCTTTGGTTAGGGTTATATTTGAGTGATTTTGTGAGTTGTAACCCGTTGTATTTCTCCTCTATATAGTGAAATCTCCCCATCCTCTCCCCGTGGACGTAGGCAATTGCCGAACCATGTAAATTCCTGTGTTTGTGTGTGATTTTGGTCGTTATTTTGTGAATTGCACTCGTGTTTGGTTTTGGTTTTCTTCTCTCATCGCTCACCGACTCGTTTGGTTGTCGAGCACGCTTCCGCACGGCTTCCGCACGGCGCGTAACAATGATTCTAACGGATTATTTGAAGGGAATGAAATTAGAGAGAGAGATACTGTCACCAGGGTGTTTTTTTATCATGCCACTCTGATCGTTTTCCTACACTGTTTTACGTCACAGTGTATCCTCAAAAACACCCTGGTGACAGTATCCATATTCCATAGCTACCGATTAAAGCAATACCTTGTTTTAGCAACATAAAAATTTAGTATATTGTAATAATGTAGAAATAGAACAGCGTCTCATTATAGATTTTAGGTCTATATAAATTCATTTTCTAGAAAACTTGTTTTAACAACTTAAATTAAGAATATTATTAATCTTAATTAAAATAATAATAATAATTTATTTCTTATAGATATTTTGTTATGATATATGTTAGCATTATGAATATCTCAAGTGAAGCTTTGAAAGATAAATAATTTATGCTAATTTAAATTTAGATAAATAATATGTAAAAGCATAAATGAATATTTAATAATAAACTAAATCAAATATACCTCTAGTTACAAAAAGAAAGTAAAGAAACCACTATTTTTTTATCACGGCTATTAATTATTTAGTAGTTGATTATTATTCATTCTAAATCTAATACTCAGGTAATATGAGGTGATCCAAAGCCTAGATAGGGGTGCAGTTGCACGCCTAAACATTTACATAATTGCATATAATGTCATGTACTTTTTTACATCTGTTCCCCATAAATTTTAAACATTACACTCAATAGCAATTTATGTAAAAGCATTTAAAAAATTGACAACAATCTGATTAAACCAATTGAAAAATAAAAGCCCATTTATATTTCCAAGAATAAAGTATATCATCAGTAAATTCATGTAGTTTTATAAAATTATATTTTTATTTTAGGGTAAGTAGATATTCGCCATATCTACTCCCCATGATCTACACTCGTTACTACGTTGCACTTAAAAAAAATCTTAACCATCTATTAGATAATCAATGATAGTGATAATGTAGTGGCCTCTCCGCTACTTTTTTTTAAGTACCGGAGATGACCCAATTCCCTTTTCTTATACCTACTAAACACTCAAAAATAAAGTGTGACTGTTAATTTAGGCATTACACCAAACACTAGATATATCAAAAAAAAAATATTGGTCATTGATTATTAATCGCCCTGCTTACGACTAGTAAGTTTTGCTTTAGTGATCATGCATGCATGTGACTTATTCTATGCGCAATGCCGGTCTTAGTTATCAGGCCGTGACCTTGACGTCAAGTGCTCTTCAAGTCGACGGGACATTGTGACCTGTTACAATCGTAAATGGATACTAAACATCGACCACACAATGAGATAGCTCAATCAAACTCCCCGGTTCAACGAACGTGTGGTATTGGGACGGCTGAGGAGTGCCACAGGCACCTCGGCCGACTAGAGGGTCTATATATCCGGAATTAACCCTAATCAAAATCCATTATTTACAAAAAAAATATTCAAGACCTCTAGTAAAAATCTCTCATTCGAAAATCTTTTCAAATTGTTACTGTTAGGCAAGCTTACGTACTCTAGGGTTCCAACTATCGGTGTAGTCGTGTATGCTAGGATTCTCGTAGGAAAGAAAACACCTTGGTTGATCGCACGAGCTTGGCATAAACTTTATTTAGGCAGTGATGTACCATCTTTTTGCCGAATCAAGTAAAGTTAATCCTCCGTTTGGCAAAGGATTAAGGAAGAGGGGTTAAAGAGAATGTACTTAGTCCATTCGATAATCTGAAGGACTAAATTATTAACCCGTTAAATAAATTTTATTTTAGCCCTTATGATTAGTTTTAGTGTTTGGGAATAACAATAATTTTGACTATTTTCTTTATAATTAGGGGGGTTAACTCTTTTTTTTTGTCAATGAAAAATTTTATTCACTCACCAAATTTGTAACTTTTATGTACATCATGTTACTCTAAAAAAGAGATATCAGCTAGACAAAAGGTGATAAAAAAAACAGAGAAAAAAAAAACACAATTATCACCTACACTTAGCTGCTATAGTGAGGAGAGCCAAACTTTTTCTTCAGCTGGGATTGGGGAATTGAGAAGAATAGTTAAGATATCCACTTTAATGCTTTTAATCAAATGATCACTGCTTCTGGTCTGTCCTTTGAAAAGTTTGTCATTCCTTTCTCTCCAGATAGTGTATACAGCAGTAGAGAGAGCCATTCTTTTGATTCTTTGAGTGATACCCTTTCCCTTTAGCCTGGAATTATACCAATCCAGTAATAGCCTCCATTCCGATGCCCTCCATTTAAATTTCAACCAGTCCATGATGGCATTCCAAATCCTGTTAGAGAAACTGCAATAAAAAAACAGATGACTGCGGCTCTCCATACAAGCACCTTCACACAAATAACATTTATTTGTTTGGACGATCCCCCTTTTAATTAATCTATCTTGTGTTAAGAGCTTGTCTTGAACTGCTAGCCATGTAATATTAAAAGAGTGCTTTGGATGGCAAAATTTCTCCCAGACTGTCATATACCAACTTACTTCTGCTGTAGCTGGGGATAGAATAGAATAAAGGTCAGAGAGATGAATTTTTGAGTTGTTGTAGCAGGAGCTGATAAGCTTCTTCATATTATCAACTCCCCCCAAGTAATCAAAGCCTTATCTCTAACTTTAAGCATTTGTTTCCATACCCATGAATCTCCAGACTTCACATTCACAGACCAAATGTCTCTATTTTTTATGTAGTTTTCATGAATCCACTTTATCCACAAAGATTCCTTATTTGTATGAATATACCAGATAGTTCTCAATGCAGCAGCAGTGTTCCACAAGGAAGCAGAAATAATACCAAGGCCTCCATTCTTTTTTCCAGTGCAAACTTTTTCCCAATTCACAAGAGGAGGTTTAAATTTCTGATCAGAGTTGCCCCACAAAATGTTTCTACAGAGCTCATCAATTCTGCGCAAGACCTTAACTGGAAGAATGTAGCAAGAAGTCCAGAAAATTTGGATGCCCAGGATGACACTTTTAATAATCTGCAATCTACCAGCATATGACAGCTTTTTAAGCTTGACCCAAGCTTGAAACTGACCTAAAATCTTAATGAAAAGTGGACTGCAGTCTATATATGACATTCTTTTACTTATAAGAGGCAGACCAAGGTATTTGATTGGTAAACTTCCCTCAGGAAAGTTTAAACTGTTCCTTATAACACCCTTAATTGATTCTTCAACCCCTCCATAGTAAATAGCACATTTAGATGGATTTGCTTCCAAACCAGATTTTTCACCAAAATCTTTTACACAGTCATAGATTTTTTGAACTGAATAAAGCTCCCCCTTACTGAAAAGAAGAAGATCGTCAGCAAAAACTAAGTGGGTAATGTTGAGTTTCTTACATTTGGGATGAAATTTAAATTTCTTGTCACCCTTTAACAGATTAATGCTCCTAGAGAGATACTACATTCCAAGAATGAAAAGATATGGAGAGAGGGGGTCACCTTGTCTTAAACCTCTTTTGCCTTTGAAATAACCATGTAAAGATCCATTAAGAGAAATGGAATACCTTGGAGTGGGAATGCAAGTAGTAATCCAGCTAGTAAATACCTTTGGAAAACCCATGTCATTGAGAATATCTTGCAGGAATTTCCAACTGATTGTGTCGAAGGCTTTCCTGATGTCAATATTGATCATAACTCTGGGGGACACATGCTTTCTTCCATAATTTTTAACAAGTTCATGTGCTAGCAACATGTTATTTGTAATTTGTCTACTCTTCACGAAGGCACATTGAGCTTCATTGGTGAGGAAACCCATGACAGATTGAATTCTGTTTGCTAGGATTTTTGAGATGATTTTGTAGAGACAGTTACAGTAGGAGATAAGTCTGAAATCAGTAGGGGTCTTAGGGCATTGGATTTTTGGAATCAGTGCTATATAGGTAGAATTTACTACCCCTAGTAATTTTCCCATTCTGAAAAATTCTTTAATTGTAGCTGTGACTTCATCTCCAATAATCGACCAAGAAGATTTGAAAAAAGATGCACTATATCCATCGGGACCTGGTGCTTTGTTATCAGGCATGGAGAACATAGCAACTTTTATCTCATCTTTAGTAACTGGTGCATATAACAGATTTGCATGGCTTTCTAATAGGCAAGGGCCACTGCGGATTACATTGATGTCTGGAGTTGAAGTTGGAGTGGCAGATCCCATAAGATTCTTATAATATGAATGAATTCATTTATAATTCCCTCTCCATTTGTAATTTTCCCCCCCAAGTTATTGTAGAGAACCAGAACTCTATTCTGGTGCCTGTTTGATTTGATGATGGAATGAAAAAACCTAGTGTTTCTATCTCCTTGAATACTCCAGGCTATTCTTGATTTTTGATGAAAGAAGGAAAGTTCACAATCTAATAGCTTGTTATAAGATGAGACAAGGCTTCTTTCTTGACTAATGAGTGCATCATTAAAGGGGTCAGATTGAAGCTTCTTTTGAATTTCCTCCAATGCCAGTTTTGCTCTTTGGACCTGTTCGCTAATGTTGTGGAAATGTCTTTTGTTTAGCTCCTTCAACGATCCTTTCAGTTGTTTCAGTTTAGAGAAGACTGAGAACATTTTGTAGCCATCAACATAGGACCCCCATATAGCTGAAACTGTAGGCAAGAAATCATCATGCTTTGTCCACATTTTGAAGAATTTAAAAGGCTTTTCCCCCTGAATATTATCTGCATAGATTAAAACAAGGGCGGGAGAATGGTCAGAAAAACTAGGGAGCATATACTCAACATGACTTGAGTTAACCAGATTGATCCATTGGTCATTGACTAGGGCTCTGTCTAATCTACTCCACACTCTAGTGATTGTATCTTGCTTGTTGTTCCATGTATAGAAACAACCAATGGTTTTGAGGTTACTCCACACTCTAGTGATTGTATCTTGCTTGTTGTTCCATGTATAGAAACAACCAATGGTTTTGAGGTGGGAGAGCTGACAGTCATCAATAAACTCATTGAAGTCTCTTGTATCAGCTTCAGTTAACACAGCACCCCCCAATTTTTCCTCATTGTTGATCATAGCATTGAAATCTCCACTAAGGAGCCATGGAATATTTCCAGAAGTTTGTTGAATGAGGCCTAATTCATTCCACAGATCTTTCCTAGATTCAGAGGAATTGTATCCATAGATTAATGAAATGATACAATTGAGACTACCATCAAGAGCTTTGACATTACATGTAATTTGTTGAGGTGATGATTTGATAATATGAACTTCTAGAAAGCTGGGGTCCCATAGTGATATAATTCTGCCTTTTTCAGTGCAGCTAGCATTTGAGCACCAGTCCCAATTATTTGCTATCTTTTTAGCAATATCTAGAACTTTTGTATCTTTGATTTTTGTTTCAAGAAGGGACATGAAGGAGATATTATACTGCATCATATGGTTCCTAACCATATGTTGTTTAGGGGGCTTGTTTAGTCCCCTAACATTCTAAAAGGAAAAATTCATGATGACTTCCCCCCTCTATCAATAGTAGAAGGGTCTATTCCACTAGCTTCATTTACCAAAGGAGAGAAAGAATTGGTAATAGTTTGATTTCTCATCATATTGATGTTCCTCACCTGAGATAGGGGGGCAACTACTTGCGAGAAATTTGCTCTGCCATTAGATTGACCGTGCACAACATGAGAGAACAGTGCCCACCAGAGTTCCAGAAAAAGCCTGGACTATGCTCCACTGGCCTCTCTTGAACAACCTGTTCTGTACTTAGAGTATCTGAACTGACAGTAATCCCTGAATCCTTTTCCAGCACCTCTTGAACATTATGTACAACTTGTTCTTGAGAAACCTGCTTCTCTGTTTCTCCTGCTTTCCTGCCATTTGTAACTTGACTTGCTACTATATTTGGCTTTGCACTAGTAAAAAGATGTCCAGCCCCAACGGTTGTATACAACCGTTGGGGGTGGATTTATCAGCCCCAACGGTTTAAACCGTTTATTTTCCCGCCGAATCCCCTTAAAAAAACCCTAGTTCTTCCTCCCAAATAGGACCTCGCCGCCTCTCCTCCTCCTCATCTTCGCCGGACCTGACTTGTAAGTCCTCTAACCCTAGTTTCTATTTCGCAGATTCTTGTCGATGTATTTTCCGGTCTCTTCACTTTATCTGTTTCTGTGGACTTGGAATGAGCTTTCCTCAATTTTATTGATTTTAGGTTTAATTGCAGAGTGCCTCCAGTACTAAAGTTTTACCGCTTATTAATCCTGAACTTTTTATTAGAACTTTGATCCCTAATTCCACGATGGAGTTATCTTCCCATTATTTGTATTCATGACTTCAGTTTGATAGTCATGTGTATAGATTGCAGGAATTAATTGCTTAAATATGTTGTCAACTAGTAATCCTCCATTCCTTCTATTTCCTGCAATAATTGGAGATATAATCAAATATTAGTACTTTTCCATGCTCCTCACTGAACTTTATTTTCAAGGCAATGTGCATTTTTTATGCAGTGAGTTGTCATTCCACAGGTCTAATTAAGCTTTCTTTATCCCTAATCACTGCGTATGGCCTTGTTGGCAAAGTCGCTAATTATTTTGAGAATTCTCCATGCATCTGATTCTTCACAGTTTCTCCGGAGCTCATTTGCTGTGAAGGCAATATCCATGGAGGATGTAATTAACAGAATGTTAAATCTCTCTCTATTCGATAACATGTATGTTAACTAAAGTGTAATAGAGCACTAACAAACCATTGTTGACTTTATAATAATGCTTAATTACTCACGCTTGTTTAATGAATATTGATTCTACCTAATAAGGCAAGTCTTAATTAGCAGATAATTACACTGTTTAACTCTGTGTAATTGAAAAGTTAAGATTTGATTCGTTCCTGTGATAAAAAGGGGCTTATAATTTTTCCATGTCATCCTTGTGTTGCATCATGCTGTCCCTTGCCTTTAGGTTTAATAATGTGGAGAGAATATTTAATTAAGAAACAAGGACATGTGAGTATTGGCTAAAAATATAGGCTCTATTTATAGTCCAGCTAAAGTTTATACCCATTTTTACAAAATTCAATAGTGAAATCTTCAAGTTCCAAACATCTTGACAGTAAACAATGAAAATGTTCCTCAACATGGCCGCATGAAACAAAATAATTCATTAGCTGACCACGAAACTTGAGATAAAACTTCATTGTAACTGGTAGTCGGTGTTAGATTTTTGCTATATTCTTTTACTGCTTGAAATGTAACTGGTAAGCATATATTATGTGAAAATTTCATACACATAATAAATATTTGATGCACTAGACATTTTGAGTTGTTTTCTTTTGTTGATTCTGTGTTTGATTGGTTGAATACTTAGGTATGATGCGACCGTCGAGGCTATTACTTCTAATGGTTACCATGTTGCCTATGATGGATGGGGAAACAAGGAGGAGGTATGTTGGATAATGCGTTTTTTAATAAGCCATATCTTCCAAGAAAGTCCGTCTGTATTTTAATTAAATTTGTCAATATCTTACACTAGTAAAATAAGCCATATCTTCCAAGAAAGTCCGTCTGTATTTTAATTAAATTTGTCAATATCTTACACTAGTAAAAAGATGCTCATCCTCTTCTTAGACTCATATCGTGAAAGTAATTAGATTTTCAATGCTTTAAAAGAGTAAACTACCTAGTAACTAATTGTTTAAATCATTAGTGCAAGTCGACGACTAAGTGTAGCCTTAAAAAATGTCTAAGCTGTGGGAATTTTTTTTACCAATATTCTCACACCTGCAGTTCATTTTTACAGGTCAAACTGATGCTAATTGCGCTTCTATCTGAATCTGAACTTAGAGTATCTGATGCCACAATTGAGCTAATCTTAGATAAGGTAGATAATGTTTTTGAATGCACTACTAGTAAACTTATCTTGAATTGCTTTGATTGGAAAAATTTTCATGTAATTCGTGATCGTACTTTGTAGTTTATGATGACTTTCTTCATTTTCCTGATTCAAAATGCTTTATATTATTTTTTTGTTAGATGATGTGGTGTAATGATAACTGTTTCACATCTTTAGAATCATGAGTGGGTCCTTAAAACACCTTTACATGCAGTACATTTTGATCAGCTATTGCAAGTATTTCATTCTCTTGTTTATCCTATTTAGAGAGTCTTCTGATTCACAAATATTCATATTCTTTGTTATGCAGGGGTGCAGCTTGGTGAATGCATTAAAACTTTAATCCATGCCGATTACCCTGAACAGTGGCCTAGCCTTCTTCACTGGATAACATGCAACTTACAATTACAAGACCAACAAGTATATGGAGCTCTCTATGTGCTAAGGATTCTTTCCAGGAAATATGAGTAAGTAAAATCTCTTTTGTTATACGTGGATTCTGGAACCAGCTCCTTCTATAATCATTATATTTCGTGCATACACAAATCAAATGCTATTACCAATATTTCACAAAAGCTTTTCTAAAACTCGCTTCGAAACTTTATGAAGGGTAATCACTTCTAGAGAGAGCAATCCAACCATCCTCTCTTGTCCTGCAACAATTCTTCGGCTTTGCAATGTATGTTGTGTCGCGAGAGAGCAATCCAACCATCCTCTCTTGTCCTGCAACAATTCTTCGGCTTTGCAATGTATGTTGTGTCGCATGAATCATGTTCTCTTCCAAGAAGCCGACTATCTGTGAGTTTTAGTTGAGGTTGTGATGAATCTCATGAGTTTTAGTGGGTCTAAACCTAATAAATGTTTTGTCATTCTTGTTCTTCTTGCCTTCTATAGTTTAAGCTTGCAGAATTATATTAAGGGAGATTGCATAATCAATGCTGTTACTGTTTGATGTTGTCTACTATCTGTTTGCTTAACAGCATTTGATGAAAATTTGTGTTAATTTTGTTGTTTTAAGTTGCAAGACACATTAATTCTTTATTAAAAAACCAATTTTGTCGTTCTTGGATTGGAGGCATGCATATTGTATATAATTGAGGCACATTCATTGGTTGGGAAGTTGGTGAAGTTGCTACTCAACTTGTGTGAGTGTAGTTTCCTAATTTTCATATCCAATTGGCAGATATATAAATGCTAATCATGTTTATGGTTTTGATTTCTGCTTATATTTGTGTCATTTGTCTCCAGCATTCATTCATGCCTTGTGCTTCAGTCCAAATAGGTACTGGCTCCGTGTTGCCACTCAAGAGAGTGTGAAGATATGGGATATGGAGACTGGAGAGCAAGTCTATTGTTCAGGATCTGAAGCCAACTGATGCCCCTTAGCCAACTTCATCCAAAAAACAGGTATATTCAATCACCAACCTCATTTTCTTAGTTTATATAACTGCTTATTTATACCCTGCAATTCTTAAATAATCTCATTATGCCTGATATTCATCAAATTAGAAAATAGAAATATCAAATCGTTAGTCATTCTTTGGGAATTATTCAATTTCTTTAGATGATCAATTTTTTCCTCTTTGCTACAGAGGTTGGTTTGGCCTTCCTCAAGGAATGTAAATGGATTGACACGGAGCATCAGCAGGCCAAAGTTCATTTTTTGTCAAGAACATCCTGAGATTCGAAATTCCATCATTTGTTAAAACTTGAATTTGATGGATAAGGAGGAACCTCCTGATATCAAGTCACCTTTCTCTGTTATCCTTCAGTGTCTTCTTCATCTTTTCTATGTAAAAAAGCTGAGGATGTTTTAATTTGATCAAAGGAATTGATGAATGCATTGTTATTGTCTCAATTAAGAGTGTGATTAATCTTGAGCATCGTTATTTTTTTTTAGAATTAGGTATTTGCCCCAACGGTTGAAACCGTTGGGGCTGAGTAAGGCCCCAACGGTTCCAACCGTTGGGGCATTTTTTAATTTTTTAAAATTAAAAAAAATAAAAAATATTTGCCCCAACGGGTGTAACCGTTGGGACAAGTTTTTTAACCGTTGGGGCAACATCAGCCCCAACGCAATGTGCCCCAACGGGTGTTTTAGCAGCCCCAACGGTTGTAACCGTTGGGGACATGCTCAGCCCCAACGGTTCCAACACGGTTGTAACCGTTGGGGACATGCTCAGCCCCAACGGTTCCAACCGTTGGGGCTGCTACAGTTTGTACTAGTGTTGGCATCCACCTCTGAACCATAGGTTTCTTTTTGCATTTTAGTAGATCATGCCCAACCTGTTTATAGTGTTCACACCATCTTGGTTTCAATTCATATACTATCTTCTGATTAAATTTCCTGCCATTTGGACTATTTATAACAATTTGATCAGGAAGAGAGGTGGGTAATTTAACTTCAACTAATACCCTTGCATAGGCCAATCTTTGTCTATTTGCAGTAAGTTTATCAGTGGCTATAGGTCTTCCAATGAGGCTTGCAATTTTACTAATCCCTTTTTCATTCCATAGGTTTAGTTTAAGTGCAGGTAGCTGTATCCACATAGGGTAAATACACTCATCCATTTTTCCAAAATCCTAATTCAGTGACCAAACTTTTAATAAGAGTGGTCTGGAGCAAAAAAACCAAGGGCCTCTTGTGAGAATTTCATTCATTTCCTCTTTATTATTGAATTTGAAAAGAAAAACACCTGCTCTCAAAAGGCATATTTCAGGATTAGCAATATGAGACCAAATTTTCCTAACAAAATTTTCCATGGCTTTAAATCTAACATTTATCCCAATCACTTGACCAACAAGAGAAAATTTTCACATTGATGCACCCTCGTTCCATTCCTCTTCATCAAAAGTAACTGTATCATTCATTTCAGGGGGAATAAAATTCAGATCTAAACCACTACCAGGCAATCTATTGTCTGAAAACAGACTAATCCAGCTCCTCTTTTGATTTTGATCTGAAGGATTATCAGCTATTTTTGATCCCTCAAGAGTAGATGTAGGAACTCCTTTTTCCAGAATCACAACATCTGGATTAGAATTATCAACAGAGATAAATGTAACAGTTGCAGAATCAGGCTTCGATTTAGAAGTCGATGGATCAGTATCCAGATCTCTTAAAGAAACAGGAGGTTGATGTACAAAATGAGAGGAATCAGGAGAATCCATCTCAGACTCAACATCATCAGCCCAGGACACTCTCTTAGAACCATTAAGGGAGAGAGGAGACTTACTAAGTTGTCTAATCTGAACTCCGATCATCTGAGGAGTTGCAGGAATAGTAGTGGAATCAAGGATATCAACCATGGATCTCTTCTTCTTTTCCCCTTTAGGGCCAGTAGAACCCATTATAGATTGAGAATCTTCATCATCTTCAGCAAAAACTTCATCGAAATGATCTCCAGAGGCAGCCAAACTGGAATTAGCAGCTCTAAGACCAATGTTAAAGATTTTTTTCGCACTATTCTTCTTCTTCTTCGCCATTGAGATCTCAGCGGAGGTGCATGTTAGCAAGAGAGAAATCTCCCGCTAAAGTGCACCTACAGACCGCTCCTTTCTTAGTTGTTTGCTTGGGGGGGAGGGGGGGTTAACTCTTAATCCTTCTAAATAGGAGTATTAGTAAACCCCCTCATTTTGATGGGTTAACTCATTTTAATCCCTTTAGAAGGGTTAGCTTAACTCTTCTATATTTTTTTATGTTTGGCAAATTATGGTGGGTTAACTCACTTTAATCTTTGTATAGATTTTTAGTGTTTGGCGGGTTAAGAAGGGGTTAAGTCTCCTTAACCCCTCACTTAACCATTTGTCAAACGGTACCTTACTTTTTTTCATTCAGTAAAATTAAAATAACCTTGAATTCTAATCTAACACGAACAAGCCTTAAAATATATATAATTATGTATAAAAAGTAAGATTGGTTTGAGGGGGGGGTTGCAATCCGTCGGTCGGCTCAGTCTTGATCGAAAACTGGAACCGTACTACCAAAATTTGGCAACCGAACCGAACCGAACGAGGCTGTTCGGTTCGTTCGTGTGGGTTTGATCGGGTTGGGTAAGTTAAGCTATGAAAGCTTTGAGTTGAGAGATCAATTATATCCAGGAGCTATTACAACAATGTTTCACAAAGAAAATGCCATAGGGAAGAGAGCATCAAAGATCCCACAGTGCTCAGATCGATCCTAAAATCGGCCAACCATTTTGAAAGACGAAAAGTAAAGCAAGAAACATGGAATATTATGAAAAGGAAGTTCTATTCAATGTTTGGAGAGATATCTCTGGAACTCAGACGAGATATCTAGAGTTAGTTAAAGAGATGAAGGCAAAGAACTTTAGAGAGAGAGCGTTGAAGACGAGGGGTGTTTGTGATTCTCAAAATCTCAACCAATTTAGTTGAGGACTCGCAAGTAATTAGGGAGGATTTCTTCGGTGCTCCAAAAATAGACTTTTTTCAAAATTTTAAATTGACAAAAATAAAAATCAGCTAAAATAAGAAAGGGTATTTTAGTCTTTCAAAATTCTCTTCTAATTGCTTTCTATCCTAAGAGCAACCATTTTGTTACTTCTTTCGTTTCTCATCCGCATTCTCTCCCTCTCAAAATTTTTTTTAACGTCTCGTGTTCGCTCTGCCTTGTATAGAGAAATTATTTTCTTTCTCCGCTCCCTGAGAGGAGTCTCTTCCTTAGCCACGGCGAGTTCGAACAAGATCAAGGTATGTAATCACTCATTAGAAGCCTAACTTTTCTCTGAATGTGGGAAAATTAATAACATATTGTTTGCTAATCTCTGAATGGTACTAATTGGAAATTAGGAACATTCTTTTTAAATACTAAAACTGTCTATTTTGTTGGTTTGATCTTGTATGCGCACTTAGGGTTTATTTAGATTCAAACTTTATGCAAGTTTCTAATTGTTGTTGATAAAAATTGGTTAATGTTGTTTAGCATAAAATTTGTTGTTAAATTTTGGTTGATTAGAAATTTATTTATTTATATATGTTAATAAATTCTAGAAGATTTGTTGTTAAATTTTGGTTGATTAGAAATTTATTTATTTATATATGTTAATAAATTCTAGAAGATGATTTTAGAACCTTGTTTTTAGAACATTAGAAATTTATTTATTTATATATGTTAATAAATTCTAGAAGATGATTTTAGAACCTTGTTTTTAGAACATCGTTTTCTATCAGTGAACAATATTTAATAGGGCTAATATTTTGCTATATGACTAATTTTTTTGCTTATGTCTTATTAAATAATATGCATGCCAGGTGAATCCTTAGGCCTATCCTTAATGGGATACGAGGACATAATTCTGAAATCTATACCACTAAAAATAAATGGTATGAGTTTTATAATTCATATGCCAATTTGAAGAGTTTTAGCATTAGAAGGGATAAAGTGAGATATGATAAAAATGACAATCTTTACTATCGTAAATTTGTTTGCTTTAAAGAAGGAATTCGTGAAACTAATCATATGGATAGAATATATAAAGAACGGGCATTATCCAGATGCAATTGTGATGCATGTATTGAGATTGTTTTTGATAATCAAACACGGAGATGGTTTGTTTATAGTTTAAGGGATATGCATAATCATGAGCTTGCAGGCCCAGATGAAGTTCCCTTTCTTCACTCTCAACGAAGAGTTGATGATGTACAAATGGAAAAAATTCATATGCTAGCACAATGTGGCATTCTTAAAAATAAAATTATGGATTTTATGGAGTATAGAGACGGAGGTTATGAGAAGGTTGGTTTTATTAGAAAAAAAATATTTATAATAAGTGGTGTAAAATATCACAAAGAATAATAGAATAGGGAGATGCACAAACTGTATTGAATATGATGGAACAAAGAAAAAGGAAAGATGTAGGTTTTTTCTATTTGAATAAAACTGACGGTGAAGGCCATCTTACACATTTGTTTTGGGCTGATCTCAATCAAGAGTTGACTATGAAGCTTTTAGTTTATTATTTGACATTACTTTTTAAACAAACAAATATGCCATGCCTTTCATACCATTTATTGGTTTAAACCATCACTGAAGAACAATAATATTTGGATGTGGAGTAGTTTGTAATAAAACAACTACGAGCTACATTTGGTTGTTGAAGGCATTTAAAATGGCGATGTATCAAAAAGAACATTTGTCTGTTATTACCGACGGTGATAGTGTCATGCATGAAGCTATTATCACAGAGTTTCCAGACGTAAAGCATCAGCTGTGTTCTTGGCATATAGGAAAAAACTTATATGACAATATAAGAAATTATTCGGTTAGAGCTGTCTTCCAAGACCTTATTTCGAAAATATACAGCTAAAGTATTTGAAAATAAGTGGAAAGAGCTTCTTGCTAATAAGTTAGGTAATAAAGGGAAAAAATGGTTACTAAGAATGGATTAAAAAAAATATTTATGGGCTGCTACCTACTTACATGGGCATACTTTCTTAGGTCTTAGAAGTACACAACGCAGTGAAAGTATAAATTCTATTCTACATAAATATGTCAACTATGGCATGACTCTTGTTGATATGATTCATCACTATGATAGATGTATTTCAGGTGCTCGTCGAAATGAGACAGCAGATGACTCTAAAACCTCCCAATTTACTCCATATCCGAGAACTTGTACAAGAAAATTAGAGTTATATGTTGTTGATGTTTATACACCTGCTATTTTTGATCTAATTAAAATTGACATGCAAAAAGGAAAAAATTATTGTATTGCGGAGCACAACATTGTTGATGGACTCAAATCCAGAGGTTCGCACAATAGTTTGTTGTAAATGAGAAAGTGGAAAGTTAGTTACGTTAACATGTGAATGCATGCAACTAGAATCAAAAGGAACACAGTGTAGCCATATGTTTTCCTTAATGAAATATCTAAATCTTACATCATTGCCAGAGTGTTGTATTTGTCCACGATGGACTAAAAATGTTAAAGCTGGATTTACTTCTGATAGACATGGCACAGTGAATGAAGTCTCACATCATGTAACTAGAAACAAAAAATTGGTGAAACTAGCAAAACAAGTGTGTTATAAGGCAGCTAAGTCCGAAGATCAATTTTATGAGCTTATGAATTTTCTTAATAGCAAATTAGCATCATTTAAACTGAAGGAAAATAAATCTGAAGCGTATAATGATTATAACTCAGATGATGGAACATGTGAGATAAATGTAGATGAGGATGAAGATACAACAATCGTGTTAGATCCCATCTGAGCAAAGACGAAAGGTGCACCTAGAAAAAGATTGAAGGCATACAGTGAAAACGAACTAACCGTTGTGGCATGTGCAACCAACAAGGTCATAATATTCGGAGCTGTCTAAGTATTTCAGTAAACAACGTTGACAAGTAAGATGTAAATAACGACACTGGGTAATTCTAATTAGATTATGATCATTACTTTTTTTTTATATTCTCTTATCTAAAATGTCAAAAATAATTAAGTTATGTCAATTATAGGCAATACTTCCCATCTGATATGACATGGTCACAAGAAGACTACAACCTGCATTGATTTGAAATAGGTAAAATAACGTCTTTGTTAGCTTTATTCAGGTTCTGTTTAAATCGGTAAAAAAAATTGTATATGAATGTGAATTCTTCTTATTCTTAGATGCTTGGAAAGTTACAGACTCTTTTCATCAAAGATTATAATCACATGCTTTTCAACTAGCTGGTGGCCTTCTCTCTCGCTACAGTAGTGGTTGGACGATTTGTCATTAAGTTTTTTTTGGTGGAGAAAGAGGGTGGGTGATGTTCATCTTCCTAGAGACTTACACAAGGATGTTTTGGTCAGCAAAATCACTATATTACAATCCGGGTTGGCATTTCTTTTCATTTTTTTGATTAGGTTGGAGGAAATGTAGAAAATAGTTTTAAACTGTCATTGGAGCTTTGACGGATTTCAGGGCAGGTCTTTGTAGGGACATTGTTCATATTTATCTTGTTCTCATATCCCTCTATACTGTATCTTGGTTTTTCCTTTCTTTGCTTTGATTTTTTAGGTAATTGTAAGATTTTTAGTTTCTAGTTGATGCTTAAAGTGGACACATGGATGCCATGTTAAATATTTAAAATAGCATTTGTTTGCATATTATGTAATTCAATATGAATTGGTTGGTTCCGAAGTTGCCCATTTGTTAAATCTTATGTTTATGTGATATTTTGTTTTTCACGTTTGAATGAAAGTGATGAGAGCATACTTACGAGTAAACAGAGATTAAAGAGAAATTTGGACCTATTACAAGTTATTGCTCATCAAATCCTCCAGAATATGTTTAGTCGCTCTCATCAAAATCGTAAAAATACTAAATCTCTAATGTGGGAATACATGTATTAATCTGAAACTATTATAGGTCTTGCTCAGCAAATCCAACAAAACATGTTCAGTCATCTCGTTGCTTTAGTATTTGATATAAGTTTGATCTCTTTCTTTATTTCTTCACATTGATTCCACTCGAATAGAATGAATTCACCAATCAAAGTTCTACGGAACCTTTTAATGTAGGCCTAGACAATAAACAAACCATGAAAATTAGCAATCATAAGTAAATACAGTACACGAGGTGACAATATTTAGTTTTCATACATGTACATACCTGGCTTATATTAATTCTCATATGACTTTCATCTCAATATTCCATTAACTTTAATGTATAAAGTCCACAATCAATCCTAATAGTTCAAGTTCATAAAATAAAACAAAATGTAACTATGTTCATTATAGGATCATAAAATATGGAATTGAAGAAAATTTTATGGAATGTCTTACGAATTAATTTGTTACGGCATATCCTGAACTATAGTCCAATCCCAATTAGTAATATCTACATGTCTTAATAATGCGACCATCTCAAGGGATTGTAATTTATCAACTTCAATACATGCTTGGATTCCGTGCATCTATAAGATATCAAAAGAGATAATATTCAAACTTATTCGTTCAAAATAGTGAATGTGAGTATTTAGCATGTACTTACAAAAAACATGCTAATTGTCTTGTATTGTGATTCAACTATTCCATCATGCATCGAGTTTAGGATTTGGAACTTCCTAATTTGAGGAAGCATAACAACAACATACCAATGATTTCCTTCACTATTTGTAGAAAAAAAACACCTATAAAAGCATGGATAATTAAAAAGACTTAGTCATAGAGTTATCAAATGAAATATTTGAGAAACTTTCTAGGGAATATAAACATAATATTAAATATACCATATCAGATGACATTATTTCACGAACATCATTAGCACACTTTTTTATAATATGAAATGATGATGTTACTCCTTGTTGCACATTTCTTTGAAGCAAGCCATACGAGAAGCATGATTGATAGCTAATCTTTTTGTTGTCAAAGTTTTAATTACCGCTTCACAGTTTAAGAAAATATGTATATGCATCCATTATCTAAAAAATATAATTTTAAATCATCAAATTACTATTTACATTCACCAAACCAAAGTCAAAATACAAAGAATAACTTTATGATTACCATAAATGCATTTGATTTTATATAGAATAAAGAATAAGTACCTCATTTGATAACCATGCATCCGTTCCAAGGTTTCCACTTGCAAGCAAATGCTTCAAATATTCTCCAGTGAGAATGATATCACCTATTTGAACAAAAGACATAATTTTCTCTCCTTTGCTTTCCCTTTGCTCATGATGAGGTGACACATAAGACTCATCATTCATCCATTCTGAATTCAGATTAGGAGGTTTCATAATTAAATCTACATGAACACTATCTCCGACGTTACTATCATGGCTAGGTGGATTTCTCCTAACTTTTTCAAATGATTCTCCTTTAAGACTAATGCAAATATTGCATAATTTTTTTTCAATTCTCTGCATATGATTCTAGAAACAGTGGTGATAAAAATTAAGTTAGAATATGTGTAAAAAAGAAGTTTATAAGTACTATAATGCATAACCAAACTTTTAACCTTTGAATATAATTTGCTTTTTTTGATGTCAAATTTGAGTGTGGAAACATCATCTCTCATCTCGGACATAGCTTGTCTAATTTCAAGCATTTTTTATATTATTTTCTAAGCAATGCACACTCCGTTCAACTGAAGCCATACGAAATGATAGCATATGTTTGTCTATGTAATCAAATGTTTCATCTGAAACCTTATCATTTTCCTCATCTTCATCGTCTTTTTTCCTTCTCCTCCTTCGCCTCTTCTTTTTCTTCTTCATGATTTGGCCTTAAGTTTTGACCAGCTTGACCATTGGATTTATTTTTAAAAGTAGCATAATGTTCCTAAAAAACATGTTTACAAAGATAAAATTAAATATAATAAGAAGATTATGTGAGTACCAAGCTAGATTAAATCTAAATAAAGAATCAATAGTTAAACCTTACATACGTTTTGATTGGATGTTGTTGCTTGTTATTATTGTGAAGCCTGAGTTGTTTCTTGTTGCATGTAAGGCATTGCTAAATCAAATAGTACTACTAGCTTTTAAGAAAGAACATTAATAATGTACATTTGGGTTTAGTAATATAAAATAATCCAAAAACAAACTAATCATCTACATTTTTTGTAATTCATGATACATTTTGTTATCAGCGCGACCAAATAAATTTTCATTGTTCTCTCTTGATGCACATTGCTTCTCAGTCCAATGAGCCATTATTGGAAGACTTTTAGCATTGTAATCAAAGTCATTACCCGAAAATCTAAAGTGCTCATAATACCACAGCTAATATAAATGAGAAGCATATATAGTTATTATAAGATAAAATAGTAAAAATAAAAATATTAGCTCACTTAAATTAAAGAATTTACCTGTAACAGAAGCATACATCCATTTACGTACTTTGCATTTTTTTTCTTTGACTTGTAATGTTTGAAAATAAAAAGTCAAGAGTGAATCTAGCCCAATTGTATGAAGAGATTTTTTTTTTGACATCAACTAGAATGTTTAGATAATATTGGGGTATACAATCCTTATCATTTATAGGAGTTAGCACAAGTCCCAGTAATAGAAGCACAAAATATCTCTTAAAATGATCGTCTGCTCCATCAGATGAACTAATATAATTTATAAGGTGTCTGATTGTAATTTTCTTCGTGAATGGTTCAACATAATATTTCAAAATTTCTGGGTCAACACTTTCATTGCAAAGCATAACAATATCACCTTCAGCACGTAATCCCATCAAGTAAACGACATCCTTTTCTAAAAGTGACACCTCGCAATCTCTTATTTTAATTATACGTGTTTCTATATTTACCTTAATCATTAACCAATAACAAAGGCAATGACTCATTCTTATACCAAGAATATATAAAATATCTCCCAAACCCATATGCACTATTGCTTGTTTTTGTACATCTGTTAAGCCACTTACGATATTGAACATTTTTGTTGGATTGCAATAAATACCAATATTCTCCTCTCTGACATTTTTTGCATAAATATCAAAAATAAGTTCAAGAAAAATAAAATTATAACGCCTAAATAAATCGCTTAAATATATGTGATTGTGACTTTTTCCTTTCTAAGAAAGTCAATAAAAGTTTATAGTTGTATGACAAACAATTCTATAGGGTAGATCACATCAATTTACTAGTTCAGCATTGTATAGTTTTTAAGTCTTAGATGATGGAATTTATGACTCTTTGAACTATGAACCTAAACAAAAAGTCTTTAATATTGCACCATGGCCATGTGTTCATGTGTGATAGAGAGCGCATGCATGCAAACTGTAGGAGCTTCCGTAGTAAAAATTGTAGTCGTCTTGATTACTTAGCTTATAAATATAGAGATTAAGTTTTTAATTTAGTCAATAAATTGCATCACATGACATAATTACTTTAGAGTATTTTAATCATCATCCAATGACTTTATAGACGCAAAGAACAATGAGCATAACATAGTGTTCTATATAATTAAAATTTTTTAAAAAGGAAAAAGATGGGGGTACCTTTCATAGCGCTTCTCTTCACGAGATTTTTTGGAGGATCCTCGTGTAGAATTTTGCTTTAATGGAAAGTGCGGAGCCTTACATGATAACGCGGTAAAAATTATAACGTGAAATATTAGTTAGTTGGAGAATTCTAACTAATCATAAATTATGTTTCTCTCCTAAATTGTATTTCCTAAAATAACAATTTTACCTAATTAAAATTACAGTTAATTACAATTTTAGGTGTGGAATACCTTATAACCGTCAAATCTATCAATCTAGAGATGTGAGAGCTATTTTTAAGGAATTTATTTACAGATATACCACCGGTACTCCAACAATTCTTCATGGAGCACCGAAGCTGCAGGCTTAATTAGGAGGCTAGGAAACTAGGAAATCAGTTATGAAAGGAAACCTAATTAAACAAGCGGGATTTTAAGGAGAATAAGTAGGATTTGTTTTTAATTTAAAAACACCAGATATAACAAAGATCCAATTTGTCTTCACAAGATTGGTCGGTGCGTGTGAAAGTGGATTTAGAACCGAACCAAAGTTTTGAAGTTCGGGGCTGTTCGATCAGCTAATTCAGTCTTTTTTCTCAATTGTGCTGAACCCTAGGTTTGAGGAGGAACAATGAGATAAGCGATGGACATACCTTCTACTCTTCATGTTTGATAGGAGGAAGAGTGGTGGAAGGTTGATTTTTGTGGTTGATCAGTCTTCTCCTCCTCTTGTGTCTTCTTACTTTGAAATTCTTCTCTCTACTCCACCTAATTCATTTTCCCTTGTCCTCCACCTCCCTCCCCACTACTCCACCTCCCCCCTCCGAAAACTCTACGCCAGTGGCAGAGTCAGAAAACTACTACAAAGGGGATCCATAAAATATTAAACGGGACAGCATATTTTTTAGATTTTTTTTAAGGACCTAACATCTAAACGTCTAAACAACATTCCCAAAATAAAAAAAATAAAAAT